CGGCACACTAGTGTGCCGCGGCACAGTGGTTGAAAAACACTGATATACCTTCCATACAGCAGGAAATATTTAAATCCAAATTCACAATCCAAACTGGTTTATGGCTTCGTCTCAATTTCTTTAGGAGGACACCCCAAAAAAATTAAAGAAACGGTTTTGAGGAATGCAGCTTGAATTAGAAACATCTATTAAAATTCATTTACGCTGAAGATTTTCCTTTGCTTATAGTAAAGAATATTGAACGCTTTTGTTCAGCATTATTTAAATCTGCTGGGGATCTGGAGGTGGAAATTACTTGAAAGGTAGATTTGATTTAAGAACTGGTTTCATGGAGCTTGGTCAAATATGCAGTGTAAATGTGAGCAAATTGCCTCGTGAAACATACCAGTATCCCAAGGATTAATCTCTCAGCCCAAGGATTTGGGTTTGCAGCTTTTAGCTTCCCGATCATATGCATGTTTTAGAATAGAATACAGGCAACAGGGGATCTTGGAGATCATTTACTCCAACCCCTTCCTCAGGCAGGAAACCCTAGACGATTTCAGACAAATGGTTGTCCAAACTCTTCTTAAGAACCTCCAGGGTTGGAACACCCACAACTTCTGGAGGCAACTAATTCTATTGATTAATTGTTCTGCCAGGAAATTTCTCCTTAGTTTTAGGTTGCTTCTCTCCTGGATTAGTTTCCATTCATTGCTTCTTGTCCTGCCCCCTCAGGTCCTTTGAAGCAGGGGTCTCCAATGTTGGCAACTTTAAGACTTGTAAAGCTGGCTGAGGAATTCTGGGAGTTGAAGTCCACAAGTCTTAAAAGTTGCCAAGGTTGGAGACCCCTGCTTTGGAGAATAGTTTGACTCCTGAATTCAATAGGAAGTTCTTCCTAAATTCAGAGATGTGCCATTAATAGCAATAGCAGTTAGACTTATATACCGCTTCATAGGGCTTTCAGCCCTCTCTAAGCAGTTTACAGAGTCAGCATATTGCCCCCAAAATGATCCAACCCCAAAATAACCAATAAACAATGAATTAGCATGGCAGAATTCCAGTGTTTCCCATCATCTTTCCCCTTGTTTCATACTATCGGTGGATGAAAAATGTACAGTATTCATTTTTTAAGGGGGAACACCCATATCCACACCACGACTGTATTTAAGTATTTAATAAATTTATAGGCCGCCCAATCCCGAAGGACTCCAGGTGGCTTACAGAAATACATCTCTAAAAGAATAAAAAATAAAAAAAGAGAAAAAAAACAGATTAAAAGATCACTTCATGCACTCAATCTAGGTGGGGCTGGACCTCATTCATGAGGTCACCAGCCGCAGGCCTGCCAGAATAGCCAGGTTTTGGTAGCCTTTCGGAAGGCCGTGAGAGTGGGAAGGATCCGGATTTCTGGAGGTAGATCGTTCCATAGGGTCAGAGTGGCTACAGAGAAGGCCCTCCCCTGGGGAGCCGCCAGACGACATTGTCTGGTTGACGGCACCTGGAGAAGGCCCACCCTATGTGATCTTATCGGTCGTTGGGAGGTATGTGACAGAAGAC